AGGTCGGAGATGGAACGCTGGAAGTTTAACTTTGACTACAATCCCCAGGTCGAAAAAGCACGGTAAGATGCAAATGGAATGGACACCTTGTGTACATTATGTAAGAAAGTATTTCAGATAAGCAAAATTAAGCCTGATAATAATTTGAATTTATTGTTGCCATGTGTATTAAATCGTCGAGAAACAGATCAGACAAACGTTTGTATTCGTTGTGCAGATTAAAGAAGATTAAAGAAACAGAGCAACAGTTGTTGGCGGAGACTATGTCGGGTCCTCGTAGAACTAAGACTGAAAAGCTGGCAATAAAAAAACAGGCCAAGATAATGGTTGACACTGAGGAATTCCTCGAAAAGCTGGCAAGATACAATGAGAGGAAGATACAGGATATGGAGGTAAAGATCGTAATTCATGTTCCGACATAAAAATGTATTTTGATAAAATGAAAAATTCAGAGTTTCCTCAGAAAGTCAGGTTTAGTTTATTTTCGATTTATCACGTTATTGTTTTGTGTTGTTTTAAGTGTTGATGGTTGTTGTTTTTGATTTCTTCTTTGATATTTGATTTTATTTTGTTTCGGGGTTTTTTTCAGACATGTAAGCTCCATTGCAATCCTTCTTAACTTATGCTCTATTTGGATCTGATTTGTTTTACTTATCTGCTGAAATAATTTCAGACAATGGGAGGAGTATACCAAGAGAGAAACCTTGGCGAACCCCTCGATAGCGACGATATAGCTGAAATGGCAATGGACATCAAACACAAAGTTTTTCTCCAGTCAATGAGGATCGCTAATCCGGAACACATTTTCGTCAGGGACGAAGAAACCGACAACGGAGAGGCCAATTTTGACTTCACCACGCCTAACACAGACACTATTACCGACAAGGCTAGAAACATCGCGAATCAAGCTCTGCAGCAAAGTGAAGCTAAACTTGAGAAGGAGTTGGGTGTTGTTATCCATGAAGCCGAGATCAGGCCTTCTGCTGGAGTCAATTATGTGTACGAATCATACAAGATGGAGAGAAATATGGCACTGGATCATTCATATAGTAATAACCATGCACTAAATGTAAATGATAAACCCAGAGACATTTCGAGTGATCAACCACAACGAAAGACACTGTGGTACGGACACGAGAAACATCGAAAGTTGGAGCAATATAAAAGACGGAAATATGCCGGTCAGACGCCAAGCTGTACTAGAACTAGTAGTAGCAGTTTGTATAAGTCCAGATTTGATGATGAGAGTATTGACGTTAATGAATCATTTGTATCCGATGATCAGCTTAACATAAACAACGAAGTGGCTCTTGTTATGCCAAATTACGATGAGACGGAAAAATGCAATGATGGAACTGGAGAGGAGGAGGAAGAAGAAGAAGAGGAGGAGGAGGGAGAGGAATTAGAAGATATAACATCCCAGTCTCGCCTGACATTATGGCACGGTCACGGTCAAAGTAGCAGCGACGATGAAGACGAAGCTGTAAAAATGATGTGTGCCGGTAATGAGAAGAGGAAATTCGACGCAGCTTTCGATGATAAGGAAACGATGAAAGTTGATTTTTACAATCCCTGGTATGGTCATGATGACCCCATACAAGATCAGAATGATCTTTTATACACTGAAGAATACGAGAGTGCAGGTAGAAGTATTAAACGAACCCACGATGAAACAGATGGCAACGATGAAATGATTGATGAAAATGATGAAGACCAAACATACACTAGGGCAGTACCCTTTCTTCAGCTTACCACGGAGGATCTTCCTCTCAGGGTTCTAACCCAGACCTACAAATTTCAGAGAGCTTCATGTGACATCTACAAACAAGATACTTTCATAGATCATTGAAATATATAGCTTATTCAAACTATCATATTTTCCTGAAAATCATACTAGTATTTTCGTGCCAAATTATACTGTATAATGTATGTGCCGGGCTAACGAGATGGTTATGAGATAGAATATGGTTTACATCAGCTCCTGATGTCGTATTCTTGACCGAATGTTACAGTTCTGCGTCGTGTTGCTGATGAATTCCCACTCGTAACATCTCTAGAGATTCCGTGAAAACTGGTACCGGAATCGTCCGAGGTTAGCCGAATGAATGACAGCTACCAAGTCATATGTACAATGATCTTAAAATATCATACAGAAGACATTTTTGCATTTGCCTCGATATGAAGAGTGAAATTAATCCCTCAACCAGTTTAGCCATAGTTACCTTCGCATATACTAAAGTTCCTGTGGTTAGTATGTGAGCAAGTTAGTATGACAGAAATAACGTTAGGGAAAAACTCTATTGCGATCACAAATCTGTTGACCTTCAGCTTGCCTCGGCATCTTACATCATGAATACCTAAATAATCCTTAATCAGCTTTTAATAATCATGATCAAGTACCATCTGACCTTTAAAAATAATTTGTAATGAGAGACATTTGTCATGTAACGATTGATTTTTTACCAATATCTTTTGTTGCAATGAGAACGAAGTTCCATGAGAATTTTTTCATTTTACATATTTACATAATAATTGGAACCGGAGTATTCAAAATGAATGTTTACATAATTCATTCTTATTTTTTTATTCAACCTTTTGTGCTGGTATTGTTGTTTTCTTGTATACAATAAAATCATATTCGATAGCCTGTTGTATTCTATCTGTTTTATTTTATTTGTAATATTTCCAACACGGGGTCTCAAAAGCTGCCAGTTGTCAGTAGATGTCTGGGTTTTCGATCAATGTTATAACACATTGCGGATTTGTTAAAGAAAACAGACAATCAGGAACTGACTCTGTGGATGGAAAGCCAAAACAAAAAACGGAAGAGAAAAAAAAAAAAAAAAAACAAACAAAAAAAAAAAAAAAAAAAACAAAAAAAAAAAAAAAACAACTAGTAAACAACGTGAATAGCGTCATACTGAGTTTAAGTAAGAATTCCCTTACGGACTTTCCTAGTCAGATTTAGATTTTCTCCAACTTTTGATGATTGATTCAAATACAAATCATCGATGTCTGAGACAGATGTTACTCTATCAGATATGATTTCAAACAAGGAAAGTATAAAATGGCATAAAACGTTGCGACATGTTCAGAAAATCAAAAGTTCCCTTGTGGTAGAAGAAAAACACACATGAATTGTTGCGATTAGTTGTAGGTTGGCGAAGATCGAAGAGATTGTAAATAAAAATTCAGAAGAAGTTTTATTTCGGAACACTCGTATTTAATCTCCTTGTAGCTGTTAAGCTTTCCTTTGTCCATATGTTACGCTCGTGTCGTCAGTTTAAACTTTATCTCATTCTGAAGTTGGTAATTCCATTGTGTTGTCACTCGACAATAAAGTGACTTTTCCCGATGACCTTTATCTTTCAACAAAGGCATTTGGCAGGAAGTCAACAATTCTCCAGTTTCTCTCTAATCTTTCTGTGTTCTAAACCTAAGCATGGCGATGCATGCGAATCCTTCATTTCCAAACTTCTGTTTTCAAGAAAATTGAAATACATATATATGTATAAAGTAAATACATTTTGAAAAAGTTTGTTTTGGGGTTCAAAGGTAAAGGTCAACGCTACTATTGTTTACATAAATGAGTTTTTTTATATCACAGTACATGTTTAGTGCATATTCTCTTTCATATCAAAAGTCTTTGATTATGTAAGGTACTATCGTTTACTTATAAAACTGAAACCATACAGAATTCTTGAAAACTTTTGAGTTGGCTAATTAATCACAGAAAACCTCGAGTATCTTACATGCCCTTTCTCCCATTATATTTATATGCTACTTCCGAAGGAGTTTCTATTTCAGAGCCTTCTACATCTGAAATATACTTAAACAACACACGCGACGTAATGCTTTCAGTCTGTAGGAATTTTGTCGACGCTCTCATGAATTCATCTAAGATTCCATCAATATCTCTTTCTTTATTGTAGGTACATATTTCACATTCTTTTTCAATTTTCGTCCTCAATTATTTTACTAAAACTTAAATTTTGTTATCGTGCGATGTTGTAGATCTTCTTCGGTTATTCGCAGTTGTTTTTTTAAGTATTCATTGCAAACCACTGCTAACACCAGCCTTTGTTGTCCACACTGTAAAGAATGTCTGATAACGGTTTTTTTCTTTTTGTTTTTTTGAAATACCTCAAAGTGTCCAAATTGTTTTCCGGGCATTCAGTTGATACAAAACCAAGCACTTCACACCAAGCTTCATTTATGATTTTAAACTTTCTTTTTTTACGATATTCTTTTCCGTAACAAACGTATTTCGCTTCATGAAATTCTTTTCTATGTTTGGCACGATCTTACGAAGTTTTATTTTTGTGCCATATCTTGCTAAGGTTACAAAACGCTTCAGTTGCGGACAAAAAATTTACACATCTCATATCCTATATATCATCATTTTAGATTACGGCCTTTTTTCCCAGTAATTTCGTTTCATATTTTCTGTAACCTTAGGTGAACACGTTGATATGCTGATGTGGTAAATATCCATCAAAGTCAGGATATTTTTTTCCACAAACCCCTTCAATTACTTCCCATGTTTACAGGATTATGTCATTCCAGCTTATGCTTGAAGTGTGTGAAAAGGTTTGTAAAAATGACCTTAAAACACCATACAAACACATCAAAAACCGGTGTCTGGTTCAAGTCACAACGTCACTTCATAGCTATCGTCCGGACCATTTACACGATCGTGTCAGGGGAAGAAGGAAAAAAGAAAACCCTATTCTTCCTCGAATAAACGGAATAAATTCCAAGTTTTTCAAAGTATCTTTACTCTTTATAGCCACAAGCGCACTGTCAAGCTGTGAAAGTTCGAATGACCCAATCACCTATACACCATGTATAGCACGGGTCCTACTCACTATGATCATGTTACTAAGGACCGAGCCTTCGCATGGTCAAAATTTCCTGTATTTTTCTCCAATCATGCTTCCGATTCCGTCACAGAAGATTGTCATTCAATTAGAAGTTTGTTAACACCTTTGTCGACAAAGATGGCGGGGCAGACTCCTGTACCTGGATGTACCTATCATCAACGTATGGGTTTTATCTACATATGTAAAACTTGTGACGATGAACTGATCTGTACAGATTGTGTTTTGGATCGTCACAATAAACACGACCTAGGGAAACTGACGGATTATGTGTCGGAACAAAAACTTCAAATCCGACGATATCAGGAAAAACTTTCCAGAAACGATGTTCCAAAGCTAGAGAACGATATCAAGGAAAACGATGAAAACTTTAAGAAAAGCAGCAGGCAATTCTGTAAAATGATTGAAGAAATCACACGACAAGGAAAGGAAATGAAAAACGAAATCGACAGACTAACTGAAAAGTTAGTGTTACTGTGTAAAAATATAGAAAAAATAAACGCAGACATTACTGAAAATAACAAGACCGCACTAACGAAACACATGGGAGAGGAAGTAAGACCTCAGTTAGACAGGTGTCTGCAAGTACTGTCTTATGGTGTCACTGATGACGTCATCACAGTAGCTAAACAAGTCAGGGATAACTCGACATCACCACCACCAGTCGGAACCTTAAAGACGGGAGTCTTCAAACCTGGAACTGTCCAGACTGGACTACTGGAGTGGATGTTAGGTACGGTACTAGTTGACGGGGAGAATCCTGAATACCACCCTACCGCAAAATCTTCTCTTGTTTCAAGTTTCGTAACTTCATTCCCTTTCACGGATATACGTGTATGTAGTACAGGTGACGAGGCTTGGTTATCGTTCTGTAAGGGAGATAAAATACACCGTGTGGATCAAAAAGGAAACATTAAGGAGAGGATCGAGTGTAGAGTCAAAGTCTATTCAATCACCGTCTCGCCGACCACGGGGAGGGTGTGGTTCTTTGTAATGGAAGGCAAAAGTATCAGGGAATGTACGTCGGATGGTAATACATTGATACGTTTTATGGTAAAATCTGTCCTGTGGTCTTTGTGTATCACACGAGAAGACATGGTGGTGGTGGGAACTAGTGGAGAAATAGTCATGTTCACTACAGACGGACGGAGGGTGGCAGATGGACAGGACCGTGTCTGTAGACAGGAGGCGGTAATTCCCGTTCGCCTCTCATACTGTACACAGACCGGTGATGTAATAGTTGCTGACGTTGACGGTATAGGCTGTGATGACTACATGGCTGGTAAGAAACCAGGAAAACAACCTCGGGTCATTGTGATGAATAAACATCTAAAACTGAAGTTTAAATGTCAGAACATTGATGCTATGGAATCACAAACAAGTGAGAGTCGGCAGTCCAAGTTCTATCCCACTGATGTTTGCTTTGATGGAGATGGTGATATCCTGGTGGCGGAATTGGTGACCAAGTCAGTGGTGCTGATAGACGGGAACAAAGGACACTCCCTTAGGACCATATATATCCCTGATGAAAGGATACCGTGGAGTATCAGTCTACATGATGCCCGTACCCTCTGAATTGGACATACGGATAGCAAAATAAAAATCATCAAATACAAGTAGAGTACCGGACAGAGATGTAGACTTCGCTCTAGTGATATGTGTCTAGGTGATATAACACAAACTACAGACATCCTGGGATCTTTAGTGTGTGAGGTCTGACTTCACTAGTGACATGTGTCTAGGTGATATAACACAGACTACAGACATCCTGGGATCTTTAGTGTGTGAGGTCAGACTTCACTAGTGACATGTGTCTAGGTGATATAACACAGACTACAGACATCCTGGGATCTTTAGTGTGTGAGGTCTGACTTCACTAGTGATATTGGACTAGGTGATATAACACAAACTACAGACATCCTGGGATCTTTAGTGTGTGAGGTCTGACTTCACTAGTGATATTGGATTAGGTGATATAACACAAACTACAGACATCCTGGGATCTTTAGTGTGTGAGGTCTGACTTCACTGGTGGTATGTGATATGACAAATTACAGACTGAAGTCTGTGTTACATTTTAAAGTGTTTATTCTACACAAGGAAATAATGAAACAAGGATGAAACTGACATGTAAATAAATATTTTATTTAACACTAAGTTACTATAGTTTACCAAGAAACCCAAATAAATGGTTTTTTTAACACTAAGTTACTATATTTTACCAAGAAACCTAAATAAATATTTTATTTAACACTAAGTTACTATATTTTACCAAGAAACCTAAATAAATGGTTTTTTTAACACTAAGTTACTATATTTTACCAAGAAACCTAAATAAATGGTTTTTTAACACCAAGTTGCTATATTTTACCAAGAAACCTAAATAAACGGAAATGATTTTATTTAAGTTTCGTTTGTTTATTAGTTTACACATATTTTATTGATATTAGATATGACACTAGGTTTATCAGTAAGTTTTACCAACTAATAAATTACTCCTCTAAATAACCTGCATAACGTATATGTACAACTGTGACAGATTCAAAAGTGTTGATAAACAAATCGGTGAAACATTGATATTCTTAACTCATTTCTCCGAATGGCAAGTATGTCATACAGCATCAAGTTTTTCATTTAAATCACATTGTATAAACCAAGATACATAGAGTCCCAATATTGTGCCTGTTGACATGGCAGGATGACTGAATGCCAAGTTTCTCAAATTAATGATCATAGCATTTCTCAAATGAATTATCTTTTTAACCCAGTTTTAAGATCACATTAGTAAAATACGTAAAAATCCTCAGTAAACGACTTTTGAATAACCTAAGGGTCAAAGGTCCTGGTGTTGTATTTGTAATAGGCTATAGGATGAAAGTTTTATGACCCAAGAGGCCATGCTTCATGATCTTGGGCAGGAAGCTGCTAGGACACGGTTGTTCAAATAAATGACCTTGATCTATCTTAATGATTCAGGTAAGGGGTCAAATGTATTTAGATGACTTCTTTTCAATACCCAGGAGGCATACGACCTTGATGTTTGGTCATTTACATGTTTGGGTGAAGTTACAAAGTTTGTTCAAATGAATGACATTGGCACTCTTTAAAGGTCATAATGTTAAACGTGAATGCTGAAATGACTTGTCACAAAGTCAGTTCAAATAACTGACCTTGACCCATATCCAAGTTCAGAGATGATACACATGTGAAACTCTTCCAATGCCCTATTTTCATTAATCAGAAGATCCTTAGTTTCCCAATTTCACCTTTGACATTATGTGCTGTAAAGAAATGGTATAATACTTGGATTGTACAAGAAAACTACTGGAATAAACTCTTCCGAGAATGTTGTGTTTTTATAAGATGCCGAGAATGTTTCTGTTACAAGCCAATTTGGCATATTGCTTGTGACACATATGTTTTTGTGTCAATTTGATCAACTGCTCCAACAAGAGAAGAAGATTATTGAAATGTAAGTCAATTAGACCCCTTTTGGTACCGCCAACCTGCACCTGGGGGTCAGTCAGGACCAACATTGATATGCTATCAGGCAGTCACCCTTCACAATCAGCCCTTTGAGGTCAGTTAAGGTCAATATGTGCATCAAACTTTCAGCTTAAACTAATACCTGGTAAATAAAAACTATTTCTGAAAGAAAATAAACAAATCATGATAAAAAAAGTATTCTTCCTTTATAAGATATAGTAAATTTCACCCCCTCCCCAAGGGGAAATGCAAGACCCTGGGGTCATGAAATTTCAGTTGTTATAAAGCATGTTCTAAATTATCTAGGTAGTGAGAAGGTTTTTGAAATTTCAGTCAATTTGACCCATTTGTGACTCCACCAAACAGTCCCTAAGGGTCAGCCGGGGTAAATATGTGTAAACCATCCGAATGCCTTTCCATCCATGGGATTTCATAATTGTTAGTAATGTATTAAAAATTCTTTTTTGTTCTCTCAAAATTTTATATACACGTAAATATACCTGGACTTGTATATGCAAATACTAGCGTAACTTTTCTATACCGCATATGGCTAGTCAAAGCATGTATGTAAAGACATTTGTATTGAAAAGAAGTACAGGAAGTTTAACATTAAAAATTCTCCAAGCCATTTAGTGTAAATGCTTTTACTGCTTATATCACTTGTTTTTAGGATTCATGTATTTTATTAATTATTCCTAAATATCTACAAAATTCTGTTGTTTCTGTAACGATTGTCAAAACACATTCATATGTATGGAACACAAGTACGTGTGTCATGTGTATGTGCATTAATTATAAATAACTGTGTCACGAAACAATTCTATCCCTCCGAAACTGACGAGCCGAAATCATGAGAAATCTTGAACACCTGTATAATCCAATCTTGTATGGTAAAACTGGCTGTCAAAGGACATAGCTATAACTGCTTTACTATCCAAAAGCTCTTGTTTAAACCTTAATATAAAAACCACCTTACATTTATTGGTACTGATGTGGGTAGTATTCTTTATCATGCGAGCGAAATATATCCAAATGTTTTCAAATCATATAATTTTCTGTTAAACCTGTGTAACAGAAATGTTTTCAATTGGGTCACTTCTGTTAAAGAAGAATTAGATAATTTACGTTAAAGTGATACATGGATAAATCCTAATAGTGTCACTCAACCAAATTTAATTTTATTGGAGATTAATCAAAGAATATCTGATCAGGCAAAGAAATTAATTGTGACTTCATATGAGAATTCACCAAAATGCTTTACTTATAAATACCTCTATAAATATCTTGTAGACTGAACTTTTACAGTTTTACATAATAAATATAGACCAATGAAGTATTGTATATGTTTGACTGGAATATGTATGTCATGTCATTCTCTTGCTATAGAGACAAGAAGATATAGAAATATTCCAAGGGCACAAAAACATTGTAAACAGAGTAACTCTGTTACTGATGTTAAGGATGAATTCCATTTTTTTACTAATATGTAGACAATTCCGAGCCATTCAAGCTCTTTTTATCAAGAGATATTATCGGAGAAAACCTCCAGTCTTTAAGTTAGTTGAATTATTGAGTATCCATAATATTAAAGAACTTTGTATGTAAGGTAAATTTATCTATCAAGTTAGTAAATTGTGAAATCCCTAATTATATATAGAATGTGTACCAATAATCTTCATTCTCTATGTTGTATCATGTAAAGTATATGTAATATGAACTGATGGGCCTAAGGTCTAAAGTTGTAATAAAACTTGACACCTTTAACTATTCAATATTATAAATCAAAATGTTATTTCATAACTCACAATCAGAGGTATTACAGAAGAAACAGAATGGAATCACATGAGATGTGTATGTCTTCTACACGTTGACAGCCGAGAATGGCCCAGAATGGTGAAACCGGACAATGAACAAATTAAAATAAGGGCTTAAAAACCTATAACAAAATGTTTTGGTTTTCTGATATTTATTTCATAATGAAAGCATGGATAGGTACATTTTGACGATAATTTACTACAATTAAGCGACAATGTTCTATCTGAAAATCCAAAAGCAACAATGTTGATAATGAATAATAATGAGGCAAGATAGTCTGTTATGTCACACCTTATATATTGTCATCTTAAGTTGTAAGTTTTATGTCGAATAGGAACATAAGAGCAAGTGAAACATTCAATATCTTATCAAATTCTATACAATAGAACACATGAACAAATGTGTAAGTTAAAAATAGAGTCACTAGCCTACTGTATAAATACATATCCAGTTATAGACCAGTTTTAGTTACAGAGGATGTACTGCAGTAACCACAGGGTCATTAGTCTAAAAAGGACTCATTTTCAACTTTAATGTGTACTTACTACTATTTGTAACTATTACATTGAAAATCTATACAATGTTTACTAAAAAAAATAGTTTTTAATTATTTTGACTTCCATAAATAGATTTTGAACCATTCAAATTCAAAGAATATTAAGTAGCTAAAGTATAAAGAATTCAGCAGGTCATATGACTAATGCATGGAAATTCCTGGGGAAAGAGGTAAGTTGCATTGAAACAAATATTTCCTTTATACTGGTATGTAATACAAATAATGTACCGGTATTTTCTTTAATTGCTCAAAACGTTAAAATGGAAACAAATAAACTCATTGAAATATAATGTATAATAATAAATATGTAGTAAAGATTACAGTACAATATATTCGATTCTTATTTGCCAAAGAAACATATATAACAGTCTTTATCAACAATATCAATTTCAAACTTCAACCATGTTGATGAGGTTAAACATTTCAACTATTAACTCTTATTTTCTAGAGTTACTTCCCTTTGATAAACTTCCTAAATTATGATATTTCAAATCATGTTGAAATATTTATTTGATCAATGAATATTGGAGGAGACATTTATGATAGATTTCTGTCAATACTCATAAACTGCTTCTTTAATAAGTGGGAAATGACAAATTAAATCTGAATTCTAAATAAAAGTCACAGAGAACTTATTTCTGAATCATGTTCATCTGAGTACTGAGAAAAAATCATCTTAAAAAATCTCACAATATTAAAGTGAAATGAAACAAGGTTTAATAAATCCATTATATTTCTATAGTAAGTAATTCAGTGTACAATTATATTACATGTATATTTACAATTGAAACCAAATACAGTGTATGCAGGTCAGTATTTCCTCAAAAATTTGTAAAACTTGTAATAATGTTGTTTATAAAAGATTTGTTTATTATGAAAAAGTGTGTATTACAGAATAACATTTAATGATATGGAAAGAAATCAAGTTTCTTACAAATTTGCATTGATGAAAATTCTGAACAAAAATTCTGAGGTATGTAAAACTCATAATTCAACTAAAAAGACATCTGGTGCCATCAACTAAAAAGGAAAAAGAAAACACTTTTAAACATGAAACACAAGATAAAAATTAGGAAGAAAGAAAGAAAAAATAAATACCGGGTATCAGTATAATTAAAATATGTATCAGTAAATTGCATTGATAGGTGCTTAATATGTCCAAGAAAATCCCAGAAATTCTCAAAGATGATAATTTAGGAATAATTTAGGCATAATGTAGTCCACAGGTGAAACACATTTCCTGATATTTTCTTTTCTCTGCTTGGACACAAAATGATGAAAAGAACTCAACCAGCTAGAAAGATATTTAGGCTACTAGCTATGAAGACAAAAAAAAATGATTCACACCTGGCCTTAGATGATGTATGCCATGACTTTGTTCTAAAGACTTTGTTCTAGAAGTTCACCTTCATAATATCACTGGCTAGTTTTAATTACAACACTTTCTCTGTTGCCACTCCAAACCTTGAAACAAAATTCATCTTATAATGTGAACTTTCATTTAGAATAGCTGTAAACAATATTATTGCTAATCAATTAATTCAAAACCACAACCATTCTCTAGCAAATATTAATTAACAGGGTATGTGTACTTAAAATATAATTTTGGAATCCTCACAAACTGTGTATATATTAATGACAACAGTAAACAATGAATTCTTTTTCTATAAAACTATAGCCCTACATTATTTATGTAAGTGCTAAAACATTCAAGAAACTTTTGAAAGTCAAAACGATAACCACATGTAATCATGTTGGTTTTTATTTTTATTTTTTTTTTTATGAGACAACCTACATGAACAACCATGGAACAGATCTGAAGTTCCTCAAAAACATCTAGTAAGAAACTTGTTCATGCTGTTTTGATGACAAGACTGTCACCCACACCAGTGTGAAGCATAACAGCACTGACGCATACAGTTGGCAATTCTTTTACTGCCGCTAGATTTCCCTCAGAATGTTTCCAACATGAACATCAACTTTAGCAATTTATTCATCTTATATCACCACCAACAGATCAATTATTCAGACAGATCTTTCACAATTTCATCAATGTTTGAGTTTACTTTTTTCCCTAGCAATTTTTCAAATAATGTGTAATGAATTGAAATCTTTTCTGATTTTCCTTCCTTAGCTTTTATCACCCTGGAGACAGTTTAAAAATAAACGAAATGACTAGAAACATACAAATAAATTCATTTCAAAATGGCCAATTCCTTCTGACTAGTGAAGTTTCATTACTTTGGTGAAAAAAAAAATCTCATATTTCAAACTGAACATTACAATATTAAAAAGAATCAAAATATGTTGCAACGGCTCCAATCTGTTGTCAAAATCTGTAGTAGACATCTTTGAAATATTAAGGGAATTCAGATTCCATAAGGTATCAATAATTTCTTTTGTAAACTGGACATGTATGAACATGGTGTTATAGATACAGAAGAAAATATGACAAAATTTTCTGTACTTTCAAGGTTTTAATTGTGTTTAAAATTCCATTTACTGTTTATCCTGAAATTTGCATTATATTTTCCAGAATTGACTTTCTTTTATCTATCTAAAAATATTTGTCACAATCATATTTTCAAATGAATATATTTTCAATTTCTATCAAAAACCTCATAAAATTTGTTTTTATATTACAAATTTCTGTAAGCAATCCTTAAAAAGCAAATCTTGCAACACAAAATTTAATTAATTCACTTCAAATCCTAAGTAAATCTTTTGAAAATGCAAAGCGCAAACACTGACATATCACAAATTACATTAGCACCAAACAGACTGTACTGTACAAGAAAATGCACACACTTATCTCGCTGTCAGAGATATATACAAAAACTGATGAGATTTAGACACTCTCGGTGAGATTCGCAAATTTAGATCTATATATTCGTTAATTACTAATGGATCTGTACAAACACGTCAAACATCGCAAGAAAAATAAAACTTCTGAAAAATAAATTTGACAATCAACACTTAAACATATTATATGAAAGACATTAGCCATAATAATACTATTCATATTTGATAAAAAACATTTTTTCTTTTTCTTTCCATAATCTAGATCTGTATAGACACTACTGATGCACACATTATATGAGCACAGCATTCGTCTAAAATGTCAAAAAACATATTCGCATTAAGGAATTTCCTAATGTAACGATAGAAGGGTAAACCAAAACCTTTGAACATTTTGTTAAATATAAACTTCCATATTAACTGACAATGATTATTTTGTGACATAAATGTCAATTCATCTAACCATGGCGCTGGCATCAGATTTCAATTCAGCAATGTCTGCTGGAAAAATGGTCCGACGAACGACTTCCATGTTGGAGTTACTTGCCCTTTGCATCAGTAGGGTTTGGAAACTGCTGCGACATAGGAACTGAACTCAGTGACAGAATGTGGCGTTTATACGCAATGTGCTCACGGAATTGGTTGTCCGTGCCGTGAAGACGATCAAGGACTCCCAAAACTCCAAAGTTCTGTGTAAATCTGCATAAATAATGAATGAATTAAAGATAAAAATGTATATTTATAGCTGTAAATATTAAGTTTGGGAGAACACTAACCTCTATAAGCATATCCTTTAGTCTGAACCTATGAAATAAAGAATGAAGGAAGAGGTATATTAGTATGGAAAGACAGAAAAAACTCAAGAACACACACATCTCAAAATGTCCTATTCACCACATCACTTAGTAGGATTTAAAAAGATAATTTATGAATGTATGCATACAATGCCTCCATGTCTATATTATGTTTTCACATAAATTTTATAAGTTGAAATATCACTTCTGATTACATTTCTAGATTTTGCAAGTGGTTGTGAAAAGCAATTTTGCTTGCATCACTTAGATGTTTTATTTATTTATTTTAATAAAGGAGGCAGTGTACAATGAGAGGATACATAGCAGAGGAATAACGTTCCCTAGTGATTGGTCACGCTGGTGATGTATACGGAGGTTCTAATTATGTAGTCTTACCCGAAGGAGAAAAGTATAATTGGAGAGGTAATAACTGATTTAGCCACGTCAAGTGTGACACCTATAGATAATGTGAACTCTCACTGTGAAGTGGCAAGGGACCTGTGCAATCCAATGATTCAGGGAAGATCATATCTTTAGTGGACTTTATGTGGTGTTAGAATATCCAGAGTCATATTCAACAAGTTTCTCTCTATAAATACAGGTACACTTACTTAAGGTGATGGAAGTCGTGAGCCTCCGGAGAAGGTAGACCTGGGAAATGATAACCGCTGTGTGACACTGTGGTAGACCAAAGGGCAAGGGCAAACCACATCCAGGCTGTAGCCACATGGGAGCCCATGATCAGAGGTCCGAGTGCAATAGGGCCAAGGTTACTAATGCAGTGCTCTACAGGGTGGGCATACAGCGCGATGATCCCAATAGGGGCTGTCCATTCATGATGACGTTTGTGGATGAAACGGTAGAGCTTCGGGTGGTGAAACAGTCTAAAAAGCAGGGAAATTACATATGGTAAATTTTTCATATGATATATTAAACCTGGTCTCTTTTTCTATGTCTTACCTCCAGGTTATAAAATACATGCTGAACATGCTGTAAAATTAACTGTTAGGGGAGATACATGATTTAACCACTAGAAGGAGCTATGTGTTTTAATCATGGAAGGGAACTATATATATTTAACTAACCAGGCAGAACTATATGTTCAAACACCATAGAGGGAGCTATATGTTTAACCAACATATGGAGCTACACATGGTATGCTTAACCACCAATTTAACATCAAAGTGGAGCTTAATGATGCTCACCTATGACTGTAGTAGAATCCTACTTCTTCTACCAAGGAGAAGATGATGAGCTCCAGGATGACCCAGGGGAAGGATGGTAGCTCTCCCTGGAATTGACATCCTCGTTGGATCATGAAACACGTAAATGTGTAACAGAAAGGGATTCCTACAATGATCTGGTTGTACAGCACCTGGTTCACAGCTCTCAGTAGCTTCTTCTTATCCACCTAGCCAAGGAGAGGAACATGATATAATGAAAATTTTGTAGTAATAAAAAAATGCAAAATAAAGTTTAAGAGACAGATTTTGTCAATAACTTTAAGACAGAAAATGCCATTGTGGAAAATATTTGAGTAAAAATCATGTAAATGTTGTAATTTTTAAAAGTTTCTAATTTTCACTACTTTCCAGAATGGAATAAAATTGGGAAAAAATTATAGATACAGACCATGAACTGTTTAACATTAAAAAAAAAAACCCATTTCATTTGCGTTTCATGCATTTGGAATCATTTGTCTTCTGATCGTCAGTTTCTTTCCCTTTATATTTGAGATAATATTCCACTGGCATTCACCTGTGTTTGCATTTGCTTTTGGGATCTTTTTTCATTTGTGTTTGCCTCCATTTGCATTTGTGTACTGTATCTAGTATAAGATAATCAATAGGCATGTGCAAGAACGCTAAACATTGAATCAGATGCCAGTGTGACCCATGTGTTGTCCATGTTGAATCATTGTCTAGATGAAAGGCTCAGAAATGACAGAATCATTTCTTTGACAGATGAGCAAATTAACAATACTCACCTAATGATACATAATATTGTGTATTGAAAACATATTGTTCCATGAATTTCAACACTAGGTAACAAAATTATTCAGATCTAGATAATTCATTCTTCTTAGTTTTAAAGAAAGAAATCATTATATAACATATTTGAAATTTTTTAAGTTGATGATTAAAAAAATATTCATTCCATACATCTATATATATAAATTGACCTGGTAAACAAAAATACCTCATTAAAATCCCACTTTAATTTCAGGATGACCTTTAGCAAACTTTGAGTGTGAATGCTGCATGCAGTAGCATTTTTGTGTCATTTCTTTCAGATATTTCAAGCAAATAACTTGAAATTGAATTTATGCTAATTACCTCTTGAAGAGAAGAGGCTGATATATATTATCGTCAGAGAGGGTAATAAAATATCTTTAATTCAAGAAGCAGGTGTTTATGTGAATGAAAATCAAGTGTAGACTCTTTGTTCTTCACTTCCATAAACTTAAACAGGGTATCCCGCACAACTTAGGATTTTGTCAGATGCTGTTTAGGAAGTCTGTACAAAATCCTCTGTTTATATGTTCTTATGGAAATTGTTCACCCACACCCAATTTAGCTTTTGAATAAACATATGCTATTTAATTTGCAGAAATTTTTAGATCCAGCTGGATCAATTTACAAATGCTCGTGCAGCCCTGATTGCGTCATCACTAAATTACAAAGTCAACAGAAAATAAGCAGAATTAAGTTATCACATTGTAACCCCAGTAGAATCTCAGTGAACACTATACATTCTTGTGTGCTTACACAATACTTTGCATAAAATCTATGATCCTTTCAGTTCAGGATATCCTGATGGCATGTTTAGGCTGTGAGTATTCACACCAATTTCATTTGTCCAAACTGATCACAGGTGATACATTTGGATGCTAACAATAAAAGTTATTGGAATGAATTCTTTAAAAGATACAGAACAGCCAGAAATTTTGTAACTTGAAAGAAATATCCCTGTAAGTGTTTCTAGATGCCTTGTTTTATGATTGTTTCATTGAAATGCATTAAAAGTTTAAGACAAGCAGAGGTTACAAGCTACATTGTAGAGGTGACAAGTTACATTGTAGAGGTGACTAGTTACATTGTAGAGGTGACTAGTTACATTGTAGAGGTGACTAGTTACATTGTAGAGGTGACTAGGCACATTGTAGAGGTTACTAGTTACATTGTAGAGGTGACTAGGCACATTGTAGAGGTTACTAGTTACAATGTAGAGGTGACTAGGCACATTGTAGAGGTTACTAGCTACAATGAAGGGGTTACTAGCTACATTGTAGATGTTATTATCTACATTGTAGAGGTTACAAGGCACATTGTAGGGGTTACCACCTACATTGTAGAGGTTATTACCTACATTGTAGAGGTTACAAGGCACATTGTAGAGGTTACTAGCTACATTGTAGAGGTTATTATCTACATTGTAGAGGTTACAAGGCACATTGTAGAGGTTACTACCTACATTGTAGGGGTAACTAGATAGATTGTAGGGATTACTAGCTGAACTGTAGAGGTTACTAGGTACATTGTAGAGGTTACTTGCTACATTGTAGGGGTAACTAGCTACACTGTAGAGGCTACTAGCTACATTGTGGAGGTTACTAGTTACATTGTAGAGGTTACTAGCTACATTGTAGGGGTTACTAGATGCACTGTAGAGGCTACTAGATACATTGTAGAAGTTAGTAGGTACACTGTAGGGGTTACTAGCTACATTGTAGAGGTTACTTACTACATTATAGAGGTCGCTAGGCACAATATAGAGGTTACTACCTACATTGTAGAGGTAAATAGGCACAATGTAGAGGTTACTACCTACATTGTAGTGGTTACAAGCTACATTGTAGAGGTTACTTGCAGCATTGTAGAAGTTACTAGTCACACTGTAGGGGTTACTAGCTACATTGTAGAGGTTACTTACTACATTATAGAGGTTGCTAGGCACATTATAGAGGATACTAGCTACATTGTAGAGGTTACTTTCTACATTGTAAAGGTTACTAGGTACATTGTAGATGTTACTTTCTACATTGTAGAGGTTACTATTTACATTGTAGAGGTTAAAAGCTACATTGTAGAGGATACTTTCTACATTGTAGAGGTTACTAGGTACATTGTAGAGGTTACTAGCTACATTGTTGGGGCTACTAGCTACATTGTGGAGGTTACTAGTTACATTGTAGAGGTTACTAGCTACATTGTAGGGGTTACTAGCTACATTGTAGAGGTTACTTACTACATTATAGAGGTTGCTAGGCACATTATAGAGGTTGCTACCTACATTGTAGAGGTAAATAGGCACATTGTAGAGGTTACTACCTACATTGTAGTGGTTACAAGCTACATTGTAGAGGTTACTAGCAGCATTGTAGAAGTTACTAGTCACATTATAGGGGTATAGCTACATTGTGGAGGTTACTAATTACATTATAGAGGTTATATGTGTTACTAGCTACATTGTAGGGGCTACTAGCTGTACTGTAGTGGCTACTAGCTACATTGTAGAGGTTACTAAGTACACTGTAGTGGTTACTTGCTACATTGTAGAGCTTACTAGTTACATTGTAGAGGTTACTAGCTACATTGTGGAGGTTACTTTCTACATTGTAGAGGTTACTATTTACATTGTAGAGGTTAAAAGCTACATTGTAGAGGATACTTTCTACATTGTAGAGGTTACTAGGTACATTGTAGAGGTTACTAGCTACATTGTTGGGGCTACTAGCTACATTGTGGAGGTTACTAGTTACATTGTAGAGGTTACTAGCTACATTGTAGGGGTTACTAGCTACATTGTAGAGGTTACTTACTACATTATAGAGGTTGCTAGGCACATTATAGAGGTTGCTACCTACATTGTAGAGGTAAATAGGCACATTGTAGAGGTTACTACCTACATTGTAGTGGTTACAAGCTACATTGTAGAGGTTACTAGCAGCATTGTAGAAGTTACTAGTCACATTATAGGGGTATAGCTACATTGTGGAGGTTACTAATTACATTATAGAGGTTATATGTGTTACTAGCTACATTGTAGGGGCTACTAGCTGTACTGTAGTGGCTACTAGCTACATTGTAGAGGTTACTAAGTACACTGTAGTGGTTACTTGCTACATTGTAGAGCTTACTAGTTACATTGTAGAGGTTACTAGCTACATTGTGGAGGTTACTTTCTACATTGTAGAGGTTACTTGGTACACTCTAGAGGTTACTTGTTACATAACAGGGGTTACTTTGTACATTGTAGGGGTTACTAGCTACATTGTAAGGTTACTTTCTACATTGTAGAGGTTACTAGGTACATTGTAGATGTTACTTTCTACATTGTAGAGGTTACTATGTACATTGTAGAGGTTAAAAGCTACATTGTAGAGGATACTTTCTACATTGTAGAGGTTACTAGGTACATTGTAGAGGTTACTAGCTACATTGTTGGGGCTACTAGCTACATTGTGGAGGTTACTAGTTACATTGTAGAGGTTACTAGCTACATTGTAGGGGTTACTAGATGCACTGAAGAGGCTACTAGATACATTGTAGAAGTTAGTAGGTACACTGTAGGGGTTACTTGTTACATTGTAGAGGTTACTTACTACATTATAGAGGTTGCTAGGCACATTATAGAGGTTACTACCTACATTGTAGAGGTAAATAGGCACATTGTAGAGGTTACAAGGTACATTCTAGAAGTTACTAGTTACATAATAGGGTTATTTTGTACATTGTAGGGGTAAGTTGCTACATTGTAGAGGCTACTAGTAACATTATAGAAGTTACTAGTCACATTGTAGGGGTATAGCTACATTGTGGAGGTTACTAATTACATTATAGAGGTTACTAGCTACATTGTAGAGGTTACTAGGTACATTGTAGTGGTTACTTGCAGCATTATAGAAGTTACTAGTCACATTGTAGGGGTATAGCTACATTGTGGATGTTATTAATTACATTATAGAGGTTACTAGCTACATTGTAGGGGCTACTAGCTGTACTGTAGTGGCTACTAGCTACATTGTAGAGGTTACTAGGTACATTGTAGTGGTTACTTGCTACATTGTAGAGCTTACTAGTTACATTGTAGAGGTTACTAGCTACATTGTGGAGGTTACTTTCTACATTGTAGAGGTTACTTGGTACACTCTAGAGGTTACTTGTTACATAACAGGGGTTACTTTGTACATTGTAGGGGTTACTTGCTACATTGTAGAGGTTACTTTCTACATTGTAGAGGTTACCAGGTACGTTGTAGATGTTACTTTCTACATTGTAGAGGTTACTATGTACATTGTAGAGGTTAAAAGCTACATTGTAGAGGATACTTTCCTCATTGCAGAGGTTACTAGGTACATTGTAGAGGTTACTAGCTACATTGTTGGGGCTACTAGCTACAATGTAGAGGTTACAAGGTACATTGTAGAAGTTACTAGTTACATAATAGGGTTATTTTGTACATTGTAGGGGTAAGTTGCTACATTGCAGAGGCTACTAGTAGCATTATAGAAGTTACTAGTCACATTGTAGGGGTAACTAGCTACATTGTGTAGGTTACTATTTAGATTATAACGGTTACTAGCTACATTGTTGGGGCTACTAGCTGCACTGTAGGGGCTACTAGCTACATTGTAGAGGTTACTAGGTACATTGTAGAGGTTACTTTCTACATTGTAGAGGTTACTAGGTACATTGTAGAGGTTACTTTCTACATTGTAGAGGTTACTAGGTACATTGTAGAGGTTACTTTCTACATTGTAGAGGTTACAAGTAACATTGTGGAGGTTACTAGCTACATTGTAGAGGTTACTAGCTATATTATAGAGGTTATTAGTTATATTGTGGAAGTTACTAGCTACATTGTAGAGGTTACTAGCTACATTGTAGAGGTTACTAGCTACATTGTAGAGGTTATTAGTTATATTGTGGAAGTTACTAGCTACATTGTAGAGGTTACTAGCTACATTGTAGAGGTTACTTTCTACATTGTAGGGGTAACTAGCTACATTGTGGAGGTTACTAGTTACATTATAGAGGTTACTAGCTACATTGTAGGGGTTACTAGCTACAATGTAGAGGTTACTACCTACATTGTAGAGGTTACTAGCTACATTGTAGAGGTTACTAGCTACATTGTAGAGGTTACTAGCTACATTGTAGGGGCTACTAGGTTTAATGTAGGGGTTACTAGCTACATTGTTGGGGCTACTAGCTGCACTGTAGGGGCTACTAGCTACATTGTAGAGGTTACTAGGTACATTGTAGAGGTTACTTTCTACATTGTAGAGGTTACTAGGTACATTGTAGAGGTTACAAGTAACATTGTGGAAGTTACTAGCTACATTGTAGAGGTTACTAGCTATATTATAGAGGTTATTAGTTATATTGTGGAAGTTACTAGCTACATTGTAGAGGTTACTAGCTACATTGTTGAGGTTACTTGCTACATTGTAGAGGTTACAAGTAACATTGTGGAGGTTACTAGCTACATTGTAGAGGTTACTAGCTACATTATAGAGGTTATTAGTTATATTGTGGAAGTTACTAGCTACATTGTAGAGGTTACTAGCTACATTGTAGGGGCTACTAGGTTTAATGTAGGGGTTACTAGCTACATTGTTGGGGCTACTAGCTGCACTGTAGGGGCTACTAGCTACATTGTAGAGGTTACTAGGTACATTGTAGAGGTTACTTTCTACATTGTAGAGGTTACTAGGTACATTGTAGAGGTTACTTTCTACATTGTAGAGGTTACAAGTAACATTGTGGAAGTTACTAGCTACATTGTAGAGGTTACTAGCTATATTATAGAGGTTATTAGTTATATTGTGGAAGTTACTAGCTACATTGTAGAGGTTACTAGCTACATTGTTGAGGTTACTTGCTACATTGTAGAGGTTACAAGTAACATTGTGGAGGTTACTAGCTACATTGTAGAGGTTACTAGCTACATTATAGAGGTTATTAGTTATATTGTGGAAGTTACTAGCTACATTGTAGAGGTTACTAGCTACATTGTGGAGGTTACTTTCTACATTGTAAGGGTAACTAGCTACATTGTGGAGGTTACTAGTTACATTATAGAGGTTACTAGCTACATTGTAGGGGTTACTAGCTACAATGTAGAGGTTACTACCTACATTGTAGAGGTTACTAGCTACATTGTAGAGGTTACTAGCTACATTGTAGAGGTTACTAGCTACATTGTAGAGGTTACTAGCTACATTGTAGTGGCTACTAGGTTTAATGTAGGGGTTACTAGTTACAATGTAGGGGCTACTAGCTACACTGTAGGGGTAACAAGCTGTACGAATGGAGTTACTAGCGACATTGTTGTGTAGTTCTGCGTTATTGGCCAGGTTGCACATAGTGCAAACTGGGATTATAGTATGGTGAATGTCGGGTGGGTGGCTGGGAAAAGAGGTACCAGTTTTGTAGAATCAACTCCTCCTAGAGATTTTGATGTAGAAGCTTGAAACTTTGTAGGATGTTTATACATATGTTGAAGATGTGCTCCTCCTATTAAGGATTCATTCCGGATGTTTTTTCTGTATTTTCCAGGCTACATACTCAACAAATTAAACACCCTTAACTGTCTTATAAATACCATACACATTGCACTCATCCCGCAATGCGGCCAATTGTGGCTTTGCCCCATTTTAGATTATTTGTGATGAGAAATATTGTTTGCTCACATGGCAGAGCCATTTATCAAACTTAGCATCTGTTATGTTTATATCATGTAAGCCTATCAATGCAGATACTTGTGATTTACTGTCCAGGAATTTAGCATTGAAAAGCAGCAATGTGTTTATTCCATCAATAAAAGAAAGTACTTTCTTAAACTAATCTGTCCAGTTTAGAGAATTTTACAAATGAAAAAATCCTATGTTCCCGCCAATAGGTGGGTCATATGTGTACTGAAAAATGCAACTCCTTGAACAGTGCCACTCCCACACCTGAATACCTTTTTCCTACGAATGAGAAAATCTACACACAAGACAGTGAAAATGAATGGTCACCAAGACCTCCTACTGATAATCACATATTATCTTACAAGTGTGAGTTTATCAAGACACGCCTATTTTCATGAATATGCATATTTAGCACACACATGTTGATAACAAGGATGCTGATTGACTTTTAATGCTGCAAGGGCCTCACATCACAGTTCCTCTGTGAACATAGACAACTAGAACTGTCGCCTAGATGGCTGACCAATACCCCCTGCACACTGCAACGAGTCAATGGATGAGTTAAAGTGTTATTCTGAGAGTAAGTGACATAATCTGCATGTGCCTGCATTTCTGGAAATCAGAAGGGGTGGAATACATGTTGTTCATGATCAAGAGAGTCTTGCAATACTTACATCTTTATTGAAGTAATATTTTCCATTGAAGGGCCACAGAGACAAAAAAATGGTCACTATAATAAGTGGGTACTACATCAATCTCAAACTCATCTGGCAATCGGTTGATAATCAGAGGCCAGGATTGTGTTTCCACGGTAACAGTTTGGGAAACGTCTAATATGTCCAATTATTGGCCTTACTGAATTACATCTTTTTACTAAATTTGAATACAATCGGTCAAATAACTGAGGAGTTATGGACATTTATTAGAAAACTTGTTTATAGTGACCAGTTACCATGGCAACCAAAATTTTCAAAAAGAGAAAGGGGCATGCATATCTACACATGATCCTTAATATTCCTGTAAAGTTTCATCAAAATTGGTTTACAGGTTTAGGAGGAGCTAGCTGGACAAAATGTGTCTACAGACAGACGGACGGCAGGACAGACGGACGGACAGACGGACAACCTGATTCAAGTATACCCCCCCAACTTCGTTGCGGGGGGTATAACTATCAAGATCGCTGTTTCACTTCCAAGTATATATATATATATATATATATGCCTAAAGCTACACTAGTGTATAGGTAATATATACAATGAAGCAGAATGTTACAAATTTAGAATATTATGCACACCTAAACAGCCAGTTTTCGAACAGCAACATGATAAGAGAGTTTGATCTTTGCCCTTTTTCCTTAATGGTCATCTGCCTGTGAAAACCCATACGTGAGAGAAGTCGGATAGGTCTAAAACACATTGCTCAACTACTCATAGCTTACAAAGAAGACATTGTTGGTTTATAGAAACATTTTCTGCAAACCTGAAATCATTTTCTTTAAATATGCTACTACACAAATGCCATTACTTCAGACCTACTGCTTGTTGAAAAAGGAAATAAGATTTCAACTCACTTAACCCAAGGGACCTTGAAGATAGGTCAAGGTCAATTACTTGAACAAATTGGAAGACCTTCATCCACTTATGTTGAAGAACCAATATCAACAGCCTGAACCTTTTTATTATTGGTAAGAAGTATCTGAAGATTTTATTACATTTGTCACCTTTGAAAAGAAAAAAAGGTAAATCACATGAACAAAATTGGTAGCCCTTCATCCCAGCATGTCACAGATCCAATATCAGCACCTTTAACCTTTTGGTTATTGAGAAGAACTTGTTAAGATTTTGACATATTTGACATCTGTAACCTTCATATCTCTTCATCTTTGCATGCTACTAGGCACCAGTACACCTGGGCCTTTTGGTTATTGAGAAAAATTTGCGACCTTGAAAATGGGTCAAGATCACTCATATTTACAAACTTGGTAGCCCTTCATTTCTGCATGCTACAGGCTCAATACCAGTACCCTTGACCTCTCGTTTATTGAGTAGAAGTTGTTAAAAGATTTCGACATATTTGACACATGTGACCTTAAAAATACATCAAAGTCAATACTATTAACACACTTGTTATCCCTTCATCCCGGTAGACTACAGGCCCAATAGCACCCTTAACATTTTGGTTATTGTGAAGATATTGTTTAATGATTTTTAACATACATGTATGTGACCTTGACAGTAAGTCAAGATCATTCATTTTAACAAACATGGTAGCCCTTCATCCAATCATACCACAGGTCCAATATCAGCACCCTAGGTTTTTTGGCTATTGAGAAGAAGTCATTAGAATGGAAAATTTATGCACGGCATGCAGCGCACAACAAAAGACAAAACATGATGGCTATTGAACATCCTGACCATTTGAATCAGATCACCTAACAAAAGAGTGATTTTCGTTTTAAGTTATGAAAATGAGCCCTAAGAAAAATGTGATTTTATAGCAGCTACTTAAAACTAATTACAAGTTGAAAAAAATTATTCAGTATAATAGTACTATAATAATAACTGAAACAAAAAATCATTAACTGTGGGTATCTGTATTCAGATATCAGTCAAACTCTACTATTGTTTCTGAACATGACATTTATTCCATTGCTTGTACTTACTGGGACATTCTGATCCTCCTGGATCTTGTACTTGAGGAGAAAAGCCGGCCAGCCTGTTGTGTCAAGTATCAGCAGCAAAATGTTTCCAGCCCAGAAAACAACAAACGTGAATATAGTAGTCCCTATCAAAAGACAAATTTAAAACAAAATCATGACCCCTAATCAACATAGTCTGTCTGTTTGTGAGTTTGGGAAATCAATAGAAACTTTCCATGATCTTGTCTTTATTTACTAGTCTGGTCCTGATCAAAAGAAAATTAAAGATTTTATACTCTTATTAACTCTGTTAAATCCTATAACCGGTGATCAAAATAGGCTTAAAGTTTTATATATACACATAAACACATGAAAGTTTATTAATTGTTACCCAGAGTTCCCAGCCATATGTCACTGTCACCAAACATGTGGAAGATCGAGTTCCATATACTCTGCCAGAAATACCCTGATGCTCCCCACACATTCTGCAAATGCCTGCAAGGAACAGTTAAACACTGTAAGGTAGTCAACAGAAAGTGAGCCCTGATATTGTTCTTTAAAGTACTACAAAAATTGTGTTCATCGTACCCTGTTCAGTAAACACAATAATATGAAAGTAAATGATCAAGTCCTTAAGAGCTGTTTAAGTCCTCTTTGACAAGAAATGTAGAAGTCAGAGTGCATTCATTCATTCATGCTCAGCAACAGTCATTATAGAGACTGAGACTTAAACTAGTTGCATATATTACTCTTGAAACAACCTGGTTAGATAGAGTGAGGAAATTTTGACAAGGAGCATGGTTATTTATAACTAGGAACTGAGTTCCCAACCTAAATCACCACTGCAAGTAGCATGATTCAAATGTGTGTTAACATTCTCAGTGCCCAACAGATGTGTATTACACAATCAGTAAGCACGAAAATGTATCATTTTCATGAGATAATCAAGATTTCTTACAGCTTTGAATACATATGTATATGTCAAGCTCTTTTAATATTAAAACAAAGAACATCAAGTGTCTATAATGTCCAGGTACATAACTTTTAATTAAAGTTATTATCTGACTTCTTCAATTTTGAGATTAATCACAAAATGATTGAGAGGCAGCCATCTTGGATTTTGACAATTGTGATGTCTGTGTAAGACAAAATGCGTAACTTTCCCATGGATGTAAACATTATGTGTTATTAATACATTGTTTTAAGGTTTTAACATACCTGTTATTTGTGACCTTGATGGTGATGCAATTTATTTGAGGAAAAATTACTTAATCAGTTTCAATGGATTTTAGGAAGATATATTATGACTTAACCTTATCTGTTTTGATTCTAAATTGTTTTTAATGATCCTAAGAAACTGTTCAATGTAGAAAAAACTGAAGTTGCTGAAATTGGACGACAGATTGAGATGACTGGCATGTGCTGTGTGATCAGTTTCCTGCCTTAGCAGCTATTGATTATCAAACATTTAATGACTGAAACATGCTGTATGTACCCCTTGACAATGCCTCTAATTTGAGTCAGAGATTCCAGACTATCCTCTATCTCCAAACCCCCTGATCACAGGCTATGCCAGTGATTATGGAAGTTGCTGTTAGATTTTAACCTGGAGAGGGCAGTGTTGGAGGGGAAAGGGGATAGGTGAATGGGTGTTTTAGGCCCTAAACACAGAAACAAAAATATCTACATACATATATCATGTTCAAATGTTTTTTTCCATATGAAAAAAGACTTGACTTATAGTTATAACATGTTACAGCCATAGTGAAAACTACTACCAATAAGATTTCTTTTTGAATGTCCATGGCAGAATATGTTCCAAAATGGCTGCTCAGGCAAAACACTCACCATGTGACAGAGTTCCTGAATGCTGAGAAAACTACTATAGCACTGCCCACCACAAATAGACCCTTTTTGATGGAATCCATCAGCGTCATTCCTTGGGCCTTTATCCTGTCTGTACGAGACAGGCTCTGATCATGGACATCTTCACACTGGGAAGGCCCTGACACTGGATCCGCAGTATTACTCAACATGTTTTCTTCCTAAAACCATGTATAATGATACTATCAACCTGCAGCAGTGAAGCAACATGTAAGAAGGCTAAAAAGAAATCAATAAATCAATAAAAACTCATAAATTCTAATCAAATTGATATCTATTTATATTTAGATTTAAATCAATACACTTCCCAAGCTGTAATGTTTTAGACCTACTCACAGTTAAATAAACATCAATACCAATGTTAAAAAAAATTTTATTTTCAAAATAAAAACAATGACACCAGAAGGGTTTTAATTGAAACGTTTGAACTCTCAGTGATAAAAATCCTCCAATATACTTGTATATTAGATGCAATATATCAATATTCTGTTTTGTTGAACACTATTTTGCAATGTTTTGCAAATTAATTTTGCAATAAATCGCCAAGAAGAAAATATTGATTTTACAGACTATGAAGTGAAGTTAAGAGACAATTAAATGTGCGAGGTTATTCATGCAGAAACAGTTTACTGATCAGTCATCTGTTTATTCATAAAACATCGTTTTAATCCCATGTGAACCACTGTTAACAATTTCATTGCATTTTCTACTTGAGATTCACCAGTATGATCATATTTAAAGACATCGCTTGGGGACATTACCAGAACACCATCCACACAGCTGCCATCAGCTTATAATCACTCACGATCATTTGATAGATAACTTTGTGGTCATGACACTGTCACGTTTGTCAAACATTCAAGTTTACCACAGAATGTTTACATTACATAAATAATCAGAGTGTACAATATATACATATACATACAGAGTTTTTTTCACCACTCTGGGTCCCATAGCTTTTAAATTATGGAAAAAGCGTGACAAAATCTCAAATTGTGAAAAATAGCAAATACTCATATATATGAAGGGTTATCAAAAAAATGTTTACGCCTCACAAGGAAAGAACAAGATATGTGAATTTACACTACTTGATATTTCAACATAAGTAGTCGATTTTAACAATGCACACTTGCTATATACTCTAGCTTACCAGACATTGATACGTGATCAGTAGCACTCCCCTGACCAACATTACCAGCGTATCAGTAGCCTTAAATGTATTTTTCCAGTCTGGCAAACAAGAGGGGAATGTTCCAAAATAAGTGGAAGTTGTTTGGGGGCTAGGTCTGGAAAAGCAGTGGAAGGTCGTATCCACACTCATCCTCAGCTTCCATTACAACCTAAATGTTGTGCACTGCTGCATTGTCATGGTGAGATTGAATTCCTCTGTGGATTTACCACAGAATGTTTACAATAAATAACTGTTCAGTAGCTAGGTTATAGCCAAATACTTAGTTGTGCTGCCAAGTTATGTGAATCATTTCTTCACTGTCCAATATGGAAGCCATGACCTTGTGACTCTCTTTTCACTGACTTTTGTTTACCCTTCTAAAGCCAACATTCATCATAAGTTGAAATTCTAGAATAGAAACCATTTGGGTTGGTATTGTATGAAGTAAGCAAATCAACAATGGTGGTGGCTGACACACATGGATCTGTGAGCTTCATTGCATGTTTATCAAACATACGAGCAGCTTTCAACAACCGAAACTCTGATTTCTGTTTTGCCATAAAGAGTGCAGAATCTGGTGATTATCCCTTTGGTCAATTGACTTCTACCTCCAATTGCTAGTGTTTTCAAACTAATCCCTTTCCTCAAATCTCTTCAAAGTCCTACTTCTTGTCGATTTTTCCACTGTTTTTCCCCCAAGCTGATACCATCCCCGCACTTTTCTTAAACATCTGCTTGCAATTTGATACAATAAAGAAGTCAGGGTAAGGGGATCAAACCATAATGTAATGGATTAAACCATACTCGTAAATCATTTCTCTCATCAATTGGGACCGATTCTACCCTAATTATACAACACTAAACCATTTTCATGACAATGACTTTTTGTTGCAAATGAAATTGTCATAAAATGCATCAATTTTGGCATGCCATAGTATAAAATATATGTCTCTTAATAACAGGGTTTTTCTTCAGATGCAGACCTGACAGACCAAGTGTATCAATCTAATTTGGAAAAACTAGTAGCAGTTCTCCAATAAGTAACAAACACCTACCATCATAAGCATGTTAATTTCTCTAATTGATTTAAATTTAACAAATCCTCAAACTCAATTTTCTGAAATGTTAATTCAGTATGTCATCAAGTGTTTTACAATTCATAAAATATGATCTCAAGGAAAATTAAATTTATTTTTGACTTACTCAAATGGAATTGATCTATTTCATTATTACCTGAAAATGTCCGGATGAACATATTTCACACATAAATAGCCAAAACCTATGCTTGACACTGGTATATCATTAGCACATCATCTTCCATGACCTTGACCTTTCATCAAGCAAAAGCAGGGAGTAAATACCTACATCAATATCTACTTTACATTTTTGCGACATAAAGATTGTCTTCACGGTTTTTTAAAAGATGATGATCATATTTAACATTGATTTGATTTGTAAAGGTGTGAAAGATGTAAATTCAAGGTACTGATTCATATATATTGTAACGTTTAATCAATATATATACCACAACATGTTGGAAATGTGAGAATATTTATACACAAAGCTTGGTGCACAACAATGAATGAAACATATTGGCAATCACCGGTCATCCTGACTTTTCAGGTCAGGTGACATAACAAGAGATCCTAGAAGAAATATTGGCATCCACCAGTATTTATTTCATTTTTTTTTTTAAACTTGGATCTTTCTATTTCTCCTTTCTTTTGTATTTGTTCCTTTTTATATGAAATTTGTAAATTCCACTCTTTATTATATGAAATTTGTGAATTCCTCTCTTTATTACCGGTATGTGAAATTTGTAAATTCTTTTCTTTATTATATGAAATTTATAAATTCCTCTCTTTATTGTACGAAATTTATAAATTCCTCTCTTTCTTATATGAAATTTGTAAATTCCTCTCTTTCTTATATGAAATTTGTAAATTCCTCTCTTTATTATATGAAATTTGTAAATTCCTCTCTTTCTTATATGAAATTTGTAAATTCCTCTCTCTCTTTCTTATATGAAATTTGTAAATTCCTCTCTTTATTATATGAAATTTGTGAATTATATATGTGAAATTTATAAATTCCTCTCTTTATTATATGAAATTTATAAATTCCTCTCTTTATATGAAATTTATAAATTCCTCTCTTTCTTATATGAAATTTGTAAATTCCTCTCTTTCTTATATGAAATTTGTAAATTCCTCTCTTTCTAGTATGAAATTTGTAAATTCCTCTCTTCATTATATGAAATTTATAAATTCCTCTCTTTCTAGTATGAAATTTGTAAATTCCTCTCTTCATTATATGAAATTTATAAATTCCTCTCTTTATTATATGAAATTTGTAAATTCCTCTCTTTCTAGTATGAAATTTATAAATTCCTCTCTTCATTATATGAAATTTATAAATTCCTCTCTTTATTATATGAAATTTGAAAATTCCTCATTAGAAAAAGGCATTAAGGAAATACTACATATACAGTTAAAGTTATCAATTCAGTACCTCTTCAGAACCTCTGCCTGTCACAAAAAAAAAAAAAAATGGCCACCTTTTTTTTGTTCATACTTAAAATGGATTATGCACAACTAGGGACTTAAGGGAATCTAAATAAGAAGTGTGAGAATGATCCATCTCGATGTCCACCTGTTGGTCAACTTGTTTATCTGGTCAGTTCTAAAGTTCCAAAATTATGAACAACAAAAGTTAAAAAATTATTACTGTATATAATAATGCAAACTATCTGAGTCAACATCATCTAATCAGGACAAAGTGATTAAAAATGTGATACCAATTAGTGAGACAAGAAATTACAGATCGGTAAAGACGGCGGCTTGTGTCAATCATTGACATGTTGATTTAATATACAGTAAAACTTACTTGTGTCGAACATGCATGAGTCGAATACATTGTATGAGTTGAACGTTTCATTCGGTTCCGATTTTTTCTCCTCTTTATCTTAGTAAATTAAACAAAGATGAATCGAACACTGTTGAATCGAATACTGTGGTTGTGTCGAATGTATTTTGTGGTCCGTTCCTTCTAAATCGTACAAAAAATTTGATGTTTGTGTCGAACCTTCAGACGCCACATTGTCTCAGGTAAATTTTCCTGGTCAGTAATGAGTGTGATCGGTCAGTCGTAACGGTGTCAACAGGCCTCTATGCACAATGTAATTTCAGGGTATCGATATACCTGATCCTTTTGTTTATACAGGTGCACAGGAAAATATCTCATTTTACCAAGAACTATGCAATCAAACAGCCATTGAAATAAAAATTCTCATGTTTACTTTTTGCCCGTGAGTTGTTATTTTATTTGAGTGAAAATGTCAACATTTCAGTGGAAGTGTCGAAACGGGCTATAAATTAGGGTGAAAATTCGGGTTTGTCATTCATTCCACACTCTCAATCATGAGTTCAAATGAGCAATCTAGTGAAGGACCCAGGTCATCTGGGAGGATAACTGGATCATTTGAGAGGATGCGGAAGAAAGAAGAGGACAGAAGAGGAAACTTGATGTGAAAGATACGTGTTTGTGACAATGATGATTACAGTATCTGTCATTAACCTACGATTTATTTGTGTTTTAATCAAAAATAATTGTTATTATGAAATATAGATGTTGTCTTGTTCTTTTTATTAACACCTTGCTATCAGACACGATCGGTGAAAATAGGGTCAGTTTAAATATACAATGTCTCGATTACAGGCGATAGACAAAAAACACTGTTGAGTTGGACCATCGGATAAGTCGAATATTTAACTTGGTCCCATCGACTTCGACTTATCTGAGGTTTACTGTATATAACTATCTACTGAAACAAATTTTTGACTGTTCAGAAATGACAGGATTTATTCTATTCTCTTTCATGTTGGATATCACAATGGAGAAGCTGTGTGCAATTGTCTACTTGTGTATTGGTGAAAGATAGTGTTAACATATTAGTATGCGGAGTCTGCATTGAGTCTCATAACTACAGATTTATCATTTATTAAAATCAGCCTCCTAAGGGTTCATGACGCATATCTGTGAGTCTTACAACTATATAATTATTTATTCATCATGATAATCTTTGAGTAATTATCTTTTCAAAATGTATAGTGAAAGACTGTTACACTATGGCAAAGAATACTGATCACTTGCAATACTGTGAGAGTTTGGGGTCTCAGTTTGTGTTAGCTGGCACGCTCATGATGTGACATGAAAGAAAACTTCACTCATGGAGATTGTAATGACATGTGTGCCAAGCTGTCTTTTTCACTAGAGTAAAGTCTTCATGAAGCCGTCATTTTTCACATATGATACCGCAATGCATTATGACAATATCGAGTACATATCTTTTGATTTCACTTACTTTATTTAGTATTTTAAGATATACAACTGATGATGCTGCCCTCGAGTGTGATCACAATGAACAGGGCCACTAGCAATCAAAGAATATTTCACTCTCCATCACTCATTCAAATTACAGATATCAACATGAAACTTAGTAAAAAGGTGTATTGTGATCATATCTATGATGTTGCTAACTATATAGATTATTTTCGAATATTTTTTCTGAAGAGTATTTATGACTCTTACTGTTGCTGATTATCACTTGTTGCTGATTTTCAGACAGATAACCACTAAGTTAAGACATTAATGATCCCCAAATTCTATGTGTTAAGCCATATTATCCTGCCTCGGAGAGTCCTCTGTGAACCCAAGAATGCTAGTTTGTGACTGACACAAATCTCAATCTCAATATATTCATAAAACACCTTGCCTGTCAATTTTGGTGAACTTTTTGTATAATATTTTTATTGTCACGTGTTGACATAATGCATATATGTCTGTTTTGAAAAAAGGCAGCATTGTTTCTAGCATTCAACTGCCACTTATACAGATGATACAGATAGTTCCAAAGGATGTGACAATAGGGTGAAACCGCAATTGCCTAATTAAATGAAATGTCATATAAATCTTAAATATTTTATGAGAAATCCCACATAACAAAAAGATATCACGCAAAGAAAATCAGAACAGAAATCCAATTCAATTCAGTTATATGATATAAAATTTTAATCTCAGAGTATAAGTTAACCTAGCTCCCTCTCTCTCTCCACCATTTACTTTCTGTTGTGCATATGTGCTTAACTGTCTAAAAAAAAACTGGAAATGAAAACATACATTACTCTGTCAACCGGGAGGAGGGGAATCTTTGTATTGTTGAGGTGCATAACAAACTTACAATTTATAATGATAATTTTAAATGTGTTAGTACAAGGACTGCTTCTGCATCACCATCACCACCATCCCGCCCACTCTTTACAAAATGAAATAGGCAAACATTATCATCAACACGGATTACAAGTCCATGTCATTATTTGAAGTGACAAAATTATGATGATTAGCATTTTGCAACACGCAGTGTGATACCGACACCCTCGCCTGGTTATATAAACTTACATTTCCTAACCAGAAGCTTTAAGACCACTGACATACATTGCTGACTTTTTCTACTGATGAAAAGGGAAGATCTAGAAATACTAGTGTAGACACACACATCGACATGATAAAGCCCTAGATACAATGTAGCAAAAGTCCTCGGTTAGAGCAGTGAGTCTGGCGACCCCTGCTCTAGATCTCGAGCGGAAATGGAAATGACCGTACATCAGCGCGATATCTAACACATGGTATGCAATTTCACATTTTTGCTAGAAAAACAACAGACGCAAAATGTTCGCGCATGTCTATTTCGTTAGTTATTTCTAGTTCAAAGTCCACAATGTTTACAACGACACGAAAGGAAAGAATGTAAAACGTTACATTTTTTTGAGACACGACATCAATATAGATGATGATTTGAAGAAACTGACTCACTTTTGAATGGTCGCCCAGATAATTTATCTGCTCCCGTGTAACGGACTGGAAGCGCGTGTTGCTTGGCTGGCTGTCAAAAAAGGTAAACAAATTCACTCAAACGGAAGTGCTTCAACTATAGCATTACGCATGCTCAATATGTCTATTAAGGACACCACAGCTACATTTGTACATTTTATTTTTAACAGATTATGTAAAATGGACAATGCTTAAAATAAACGCAATTGTACTAAGAAGATGCATGTGCTGATTTATCATTTGAACGGCCCGCTTCCTGGCTTCATTTAAGTTGTTATTACAATATTTAAATATAAGTGTCAACAATAATTTAAAATAATCATATTTCTGATTAGTTATATTTATCCGCGATTTTTAAAAACATAATCGTGGATAGATAGTCAGAAACATTTGAACAAATCAGAATTCACCGATTCTTGGCAGTTCTAATACAGAAAGCGACGAAGTATCCCAGAGTTTTAAAACTAGAATTCTTGATAAGGCAATTTTCAGTATTTTTAAACATATGCTTCAGGTTTACTGGTATCACGGATTAAATATAGATAATATACAAGTCCGTGCTGGTATTATGAAATGTTCATTTAAAATGTTTTTATTTTCGCTCGAGGTTTGACAGGATCTTTCGTCAGACAGGAGATTGGCATCCTAACGAGACGTTTCATCCGATTAGAACCACCTATAACAGAATACTTGATCAATATCTTAAAATATCCCCGAGTTGCATTTAGACGAGGGCGAAGAAAGACAAAGTGGCGAGCTTCTCGCGACATTACATTCTATTTATCTTGCAACATTGAAGGGAAATCAGACAATCAAAATTTCAAGTTTTGTTGTTCAATCTTTGTTTACCGCAGTGACGTTGACATCACGCTGAATTTTTCCTGATGACATCAACATGTTCATGGAAGGCATCAAAGAGTTGCTACCCTGCAGAATAGTGTGTTTTTTTCCGTGTCTCCTACAGGGGTATTGAAGAGCTGAATTTGCATAATGAAAATAGATATCACTGCTTCCATTACAACACCTGCAATCTTCCTGTCCTGATTTCTCTTCCTTTACTTTATTTTCAACTTTTGTCGCTCCTCTTGACAACAGCCCTGATACATGCATGACCATGGCGACTGCAAGAACACTTCAAATCCCAAGGTGTCCCTTGTAGGAAACCTAGGAGATATTTAAGACTTTGTAATGTGTTATTTGCTTTGGTAAGAGTCGATCTTGTGATATTTGCAATAAAATTTTGCTCTCCTTGCAAAATCCACGGTAAAGGATCCGAAATAAAATTTCCTGTAGATTCTTTCTTTCTGTCTTTTCATTCTTTCTTTTTCGAATTCGTTCTGGAGTTGGACAAAGCTCTTCAATATTGGTCTTGCTATTTTTTGTGAACATTTTAACAGAATTTAACCACAGATCTGAGGAAAAAAATAACAACATAACCAAATTGAACTTGACCTGACTATCGTTATTTTGAAAAAAAACCCAAATTACAATTATACATATTTATCTGTTAAGGAGTAAATGAGCAGAATAATGGTGTTTGCTCATATCTATATACGAACACTAAAGTTATTCTGCAAATATGTTTCAAACATGTTTTTACTGCTTTGTATACAGCTTAACAGAAAACGTGGTGGTTAAAATGCTGGAAATGGGATATGTTGTTCTGTACCGCAGACATAAAAAATCGATAAAACCTATCCAACAAAGCTAGTCACTAATTGATATGAAATTTCAAAAGCGTCATAAAAAGGTCGATTGATAATTTGTTAATTGATGGTAGCACAACCATTCTAAAGGGCATATTATTAGCACACATATATACGGAGCACAACTTGTGGACTCACAAGGATGTCATACAGCTAAATAGGAAAGTGGAACTCAGCTTATTAAGACACAAATGAGTTTTTTTCTTGTCAAGACACGGACGTATTTTAAACTTTACTTGGTGGGACATGGACTTAACTCTACTTTTAAGACACATATCTAATTCTACTACTAGAGACACGGATATAAGTATACTTGTTAAGACACGAGTGGAAATATACTTGTTGAGACACAGATGTAACTATACTTGTTGAGACACGGATGGAAGTAGAATTGTTGAGACACGTGTGTAACTATACATGTTGTGACACGGGTGTAGCTATACATGTTGAGACACAGATGGAACCATACTTGTTGAGACACGTGTGTAACTATACTTGTTGAGACACAGATGGAACTATTCTCGTTGAGTCACTTGTGTAACTATACTTGTTGAGACACATGTGTAACTGTACTTGTTGAAACACGCGTGTAACTATACTTGTTGAGACACAGATGGAACTATTCTCATTGAGTCACTTGTGTAACTATACTTGTTAAGACACGGGTGCAACTATACTTGTTGAGTCACGGATGGAACTATACTTGTTGAGACACGGGTGTATACTTGTTGAGACACGTGTGTAACTATACTTGTTGAGACACAGATGGAACTATTCTCGTTGAGTCACTTGTGTAACTATATTTGTTGAGACACGGATGTAACTATACATGTTGAGACACGGATATAACTATACTTGTTGCGACACAGATGGAACTATTCTCATTGAGTCACTTGTGTAACTATACTTGTTGAGACACATGTGTAACTGTACTTGTTGAAACACGGGTGTAACTATACTTGTTGAGGCACGGATGGAACTATACTTGTTGAGACACAAGTGTAACTATACTTGTTGAGACACGTGTGTAATTGTACCTATTGAGACACATGTATTACTGTACCTATTGAGACACCTGTGTAACTGTACTTGTTGAAACACATGTGTAACTGTACCTGTTGAGACACATGTGTAACTGTGCTTGTTGAGACACATATGTAACTGTACCTGTTGAGACACATGTGTAACTGTACTTGTTGAAACACATGTGTAACTGTACCTGTTGAGACACATGTGTAACTGTACTTGTTGAAACACATGTGTAACTGTACCTGTTGAGACACATGTGTAACTGTACCTGTTGAGACACATATGTAACTGTACCTGTTGAGACACATGTGTAACTGTACCTGTTGAGACACATATGTAACTGTACCTGTTGAGACACATGTGTAACTGTACCTGTTGAGACACATGTGTAACTGTACCTGTTGAGACACATGTGTAACTGTGCTTGTTGAGACACAGGTGTAACTGTACCTGTTGAAACACAGGTGTAACTGTACCTGTTGAAACACATGTGTAACTGTACCTGTTGAAACACATGTGTAACTGTGCTTGTTGAGACACATATGTAACTGTACCCGTTGAGACATATATGTAACTGTACCTGTTGAGACACATGTGTAACTGTACCTGTTGAAACACATGTGTAACTGTACCTGTTGAAACACATGTGTAACTGTACCTGTTGAAACACAGGTGTAACTGTACCTGTTGAGACACATGTGTAACTGTACCTGTTGAAACACAGGTGTAACTGTACCTGTTGAAACACATGTGTAACTGTACCTGTTGAAACACATGTGTAACTGTACCTGTTGAAACACAGGTGTAACTGTACCTGTTGAAACACAGGTGTAACTGTACCTGTTGAGACACATGTGTAACTGTACCTGTTGAGACACATATGTAACTGTACCTGTTGAGACACATGTGTAACTGTACCTGTTGAGACACATATGTAACTGTACCTGTTGAAACACAGATGTAACTGTACCTGTTGAGACACATGTGTAACTGTACCTGTTGAGACACATGTGTAACTGTACCTGTTGAGACACATGTGTAACTGTACCTGTTGAAACACAGGTGTAACTGTACCTGTTGAAACACATGTGTAACTGTACCTGTTGAAACACAGATGTAACTGTACCTGTTGAGACACATGTGTAACTGTACCTGTTGAAACACATATGTAACTGTACCCGTTGACAACTTGTTTAGCAGATTTGTCCTTTAAGTTTTCAGTGAAACAGTCTTTGATTATTTTGATTAGTGTACTGGATTTGGAAAAATGGAGATTTTCATAGAAAACCTTTCAGAAATTTGGAATATTTCTGAACTCTTTTCTGCACAAACAAACACTTTTGACATCCCAAATTCGTTTTACTCCGATTTCAATTTCGTCATGCATGGAATAATATTCCCTATTTTTGTGGTATTAGGATACACCGGGAACGTTTTGACAGCCATCATTCTCTGGAGCAAAGACATTGCGTCGTCAAAGAACATATTCCTTCGGGCTTTGGTAGTTTCAGACATGACTGTCATAACCAGCTTTGCACTGTCAATATATGGATTGATAATTGATAATTTTGAAGGGTCGTCCATCTGGTCTCAAGGGATTGTAACATTGCAATTTGTCACGAAGACGACTCAAATGGTCAACGTGTATATTATCACATTCGTTTCGGTTGAAAGGTATGTGGCAGTATGTCATCCTTTTAAACACATGTCCTTACATAGTAAACGAAAGGTGTTGGTAACTATTGGTGTTACCGTCTTGTTTTCTGTGTTATACAACATACCCCATCTCTTGGCTATGGAAGTATATCAGCCAGTGTGTCATGATCTGAACTTCAGACGGATTTGTTTAACTTATGGATTAACAGTCTTTGGAGAAAGTTCATTCTATCAAAAGATATATAAATTCTGGATGTATGCTGTTTTTTATTACGCATTTCCATTAGTAGTGTTACTGACTTTGAACATTTTAATCGTAAAAGAAACTTGTAAAATGCGGAATCGCTGTAAACACCTAGGTAATGAAATGACGGACGAGGTGAATATCACCAAGGCAATTGTTGTCATCGTTGTCGTATTCACATTCGTTCAAACACTTGGATTGATAAATCACATCATCGTCAATACCAAACATTTCTACGTAGTCCTTATCATAAATTTTTGTTATTTGTTAAACTCCTGCATAAATTTTGCAATATATGCTGTAGTGGGCAGGAAATTTAGGCAGAAATTTTTGTCTGTATTTTGTAAATATTAATGAAGAAGTCAAACACTTTAAGCAAAATTAACGAAATTGAAAAGATATTTGGGAACCATCAGTT